ACTAAAAACTAAAAAATAACTGATTGGTAGTTTTCATTTACTATACATACCTAATCAAATACTTTCGAAATCGATGTGCTTTGGCTAAGTTTTAAAGCCTACCTATTAAATACATACCTAATCAAATATTTTCGAAATCGGTGCCAGCCCATACAAAGCAAAGCACACCGACTTCGAAAATATTTAATTAGGTATGTATAGTAAATTAAAACTACCAATCAGTTACTTTTTACCTTTTAGTGCATTTGTTTGAAGTCGGTTTTTATAACAATACAAACAACACGGGCGGAACCGCGGGCAAACTGTATACTATATAAAGACGTAAGTACTACCCTTTAATAAAGGCTTATAGAGAAGAATTTTTTTGATATTATGAACACGTTATTTGTATATATCTAAAACCATTTCCGACTTTTATTTGCATTCCCTATCTTAGTGGGTTCCTTAAATAAACTTCAAAGCGCGTTTATCAAGTTATCGCGTCAACTCGACACATTAAGCGTTCTGTATTTGCTTCGTGAATTGATAAGCATGCGGGGCGTAATCGATATACCTCACACTATTTACCCTGTTGTCTAAGCAAACTTTAAGTTTCGATCGGCATTAGAATTTTATGATTTATTTCATTCGTGTAATGAAAATAGGCAATAGGATGATAGGCAGTGGTAGCCCAGTGGTAACGCGCTTGCTTGGGAAACCGAGTGAAGCGGGGTCAAATCCCGGGTCTCGCACCTCTGATATTTTTATGTGCGAATCATTTCTAACATGATTACCACTTGCCTTACGGTGAAGGAAAAACATCGTGAGGAAACCTGCATGTCTGAGAGAACCTAGCAAGTTTTCGAAAGACATGTGAAGTCCGCCCACCCGCACTTGGCCAGCGTGGTGGACTATGGCCTGATCCCCCTCGTATTGAAGGGAGGCCCGTGCCCAGCAGTGGGACGATAAAAAGGGCTGAATACATACACACAATGAAAATGAATTGATATTATGCTACTTCGAAATATTGAATATTCATATTATAATGTCGCAATACTAGGCTAGTGTCGTTTGTTAGCTACAATTTTAGATCAAATATTGTGCATATGTATTTATAGATTCCACATACAATAGTGGATTAAAATTTTAACAAAATGGTACGTTCCTGTCACTTGTAGACTTGTCTAAAAATATGTGTGGTACAGATTTTTACGATTAATATACACAATATTGTCCTCTAGAAGTCTAGGGTCTACCGGACTCCGACCAGTAGTATATTCAAAATTCCAGTACTATATTCCCTTCAAATATTATTTTATCAGTGTTACTTTATATTTTTATAAATGATATAATATATTATATACCTACAGAAAAGGGGAAAATAATTAATGATAATAATATTTACAATCCCTTTATGGAAACAATTCATTTGTTACTGGCAATTGTTACACGATATAATATTTTACTACTAATTTATTGTCGAAGGTTTAAGCTTCATACCTTCACTTACTGCCAAGGTGAGCCCTTTGGCAATCTAGAAATCAGATTTTGATGGAATATTCATGCTCAAAGTTGTTATGAATCGAAATTAAATTGCTATTCATGTCGATTGCAGTGACATTTTGATCTTCTATCACTGACCCAAGATGACGAAGCGCTTATAAGAAAACTTGTTTAATGATGATGTTGCGAGTTAAAAGAAGATAGATTTATATTTTTTATAATGAGAGGAAAAGAGATGACGAAATTGTCTACATTCTCAATTCGGAGGTGAGGGCATAACGTTTATACCTACTAAAAGTAAAAGTGAACGCATTTCTGTTTAGAAGGCGGTAGGAACCTTACAGACCTTGATTTCCTTTACCAGTCTAGTGTATATTGTTCTTATAATTTATAGATCTACTATATTAATATTCAGGTTTTGGAAATAGCTCCATCAAGAGCAAGTTCTTAGTTGGAAATCGTCAAGTAATGCCGCGTTTAATTAAATTTTTAATTTCATAATTTATCTCGCTCGTTTTTTTAATTTTTTTAATATCAAAGCGAATATTGTGATTTATTAAACATTTGCAAAAAAAAACTGAAATATTAAATAGTTAACGAATTAATACAGAATTCTGTTGTTTCATAAGATAATTAGGTTTTAACGTATACACACAGTGTTTTCAACATCGACATAGGTACGTGATTATGACCACGAGTGGCGTAAAGGAAATGTATTCGCAATAACAGCGTTGAAGTCATAATGATTCATTATAATTAAGTTTATCTCAACTATTTATCATTGAATTAAATTATGCGGGTGATTCTTTACTTTTTTAAGTTTCCAAGAAGCCACCCGTGAGTGCCGAAGTAAACTAAGTTATAGAGTTATCAACAATCGTGAGTTTGTCATTTGGGCTTTTAACCCAACGCAACGGTTCACTCCTTATCGCCAGATAGCCTCGACCTCTTCCCCTGATGCCACCACTTTATCACAAGCAATTTCAACTTTATAGCCTATATAATAAGATTGTTATAGCACACCACTATTCCCATCCAATGTGTACATTTGCGATACCACTGATACGTCGCAACAAGGAAGCTCAAACAGTGGATACGATAAATGATAATTAATGTACATTCGAAACGATTTTTGCTCGAATTAATATTGTAAACGAATTAAAATACTGTAAATAGGTACATACAACCTATAAATCTATAATAAATTCTATCATAATCGTAAGTCGACACAATTGTGGAAATTAGTTCTATGTACCTACTTATAGATTTTGTACTCTAACTTCTTTATATACCTATAACCTAAGGTACATTGGCTTATTCTCACAATAAGCATGTTTTACTTTACACGTGTTATAATAAAGCGGTAACTATTTTTGTAATTGTAAAAAGTCAAATTGTTGGATGAAGGTCTGTAAGATATTTCGGGGGCAATTTCTAAACATTTGCCTTGCAGTTTTACCTAACTCTATATCTTTTAAAACCTAGTTAATGGCAAGTTCAATATTTTACAGAGTATTTGTTAGCATGGTCAATATCCTAAAAAAGTAAACGACGTAAAATCAATACTCCCTATCTCTATTTTAAAAACTAGTAGTAGGTACCTTATTGCCTACCAAGTAGGTACTTAATACGTACATAATCATATGTATGTACATTGATTGTACATTTATCATAGAGCTGTAGTAGTAGTAAAAGCGTCAACTTTATTAGGATTATATTACAAATGAAATATTATAAAATAAAGTTTACGAATAAATACTAACATATCAACCTAAATTTTACCTAATATACCTAATTTTTACCTAAATAATCTGTGATATTCATCACAGATTATGTTATACCTAGGTATAGTTTCCTTTTATTTTAATTGATTTTATATAAATGTAGAGATACATACAACTAGAGGTACTCATAAAGCCGTTTCCTATATTGCAATTATATTAGAGTCAAACATTGATTTAAGCACAAAATAGTCGAAATTTACGTATGTGTTCTAAATGTAAATAAATCGGTATATCCGGCAAAAACAAAAACAAGCCTATCCCACGGGAACCGTACATTTTTCCGGGAGAAAAATTAGCAGCCTATGTGTTATTCCAGACTATAATCTATCTCTGTGCTAAACTTCATCCAGATCCGTTCAGCCGTTTTATCGTGAAAGAGCAACAAACATCCATACTCACAAACTTTCACATTTACAATATTAATACGGATATTTCATAATTGTTATAAATGAATTCTCTGGACACTAAACTATAGAAATCTTATCAAAATCTATCTATTTATCCTTGATTACGCATTGTAAGCGGTACTTAGGCATTTAGCTGGGAGTGGCAACCAGAAGTGTCAATTTATAGCGACCCGTCTAGCTTCATATTTTAAACAACCTCGCACAACCCCAATAAACAAGGTAAACGGTGAATATATTTGCCGGCAGTTTTTTTTAATTACTTCATAAATATACCAAGCATAATATTAATTTGTATTTTAAATACGTACCTGTGTGGATATTGGATAAGTCGTATTGAGTCAATACATTTATTGACGGCATTTGTTTCCCATTCATTATTTCCGTTCAGTGGCTATACGAATTGCGGAAGCTGTAATCATTGAAACTTTCTTAAAATTACTGTAAGTGCATATTTATTTAAATATTTTATCGTTATCGTTATATATGAGTATTATTGTAGACTTATATAATTGTATCTGACTTGTTGGTCCAAGAATAACTCACACGTCCGCGGGCCATAAACAACCAGGTTCGACAACTCACAAGTTTATTTAAGGTTTTAATCAAATGCCAATAAGTATTTATATAAGGAAATATTAGAATATCTTACATAATGGTAATAGGCTTGTTGTTTGACGTATATGAAAATTGCCATACATTGTTTACATTACTCCTGTATACATTAAGTATACCTACATACATACACTAGTAAAAAACATATTATTATAAAACATTTAAATTTAAAAGTTAAATAAAGTATTGTAGGACTCTAAGCTTTTTAAAATTTGAGTTATCGCATCCTTGTTATTATTTTGTAAGAAATATCTATAATTAAATTATTATAGACGAAACTGTTCGAAAAAGTTATCAAAATCTATATATGCAGTAAGCCTTTTGAAAATGCTTCGTTAAATACTCTCTTGTACCTTATATAATAGGTAGTAGTTACTGCTATATTCCTTTATTGTATATAAATATACCTACCTATATATCATTTTTGTCCTATTTTTTATAAGTATTTTTATCAGAAGATGCCTGAAAATAGAAAGTTTTTTAATATACATAATATGATTGTACAATCTATGTAATATGAAATGTAAAATCGATTTTTATAAACCCGACAACTTTAAGCCATCACTGTCATTCTTCTAAAAAAAAAACATTTAACATCTAAATTGTGAAGCAATTGTAGATTTAAAAATAACATTTATTTACGCTAGAAAATCCGTCAGTAAATTGTATAGAGCAAGATTATTTTCGCTCAAAGGGACGAGCTAAATGTAGTTCAAGAGTTCTCGGAAAGCGCGGCGGTGGTCGCCGCGGGCCTTTTGTTTTTGAACGTGACTCGCGATTTAGATGCACGCAAATTAGCTAAATTTGGCCCCACTCGTTTCAACTCAAGGCTCGCATTCGGCTTCACGATGACATTTGCAGTTGTCGATTCGTTTTGTGCTGCACGTTCTTCATCATATCCAATAATTTGAATAAGAAATAGCTTATTTGGTATTCTTTGTTGGTAGAAGTCTAAAATTAGAATAAATATATGAGAAATATAATAACGATAGTCAAGAATACAATTATAGCACAATTTTCTTTATATTTCATTGCATTTGACGACACGTTTGGCTCAGTTGAGACTACTTGCTGGTGCCAGCGGTCGCGGGTTAGACTCCCGATGGTGGCATTTATTTGTGTGATGAGCACGATTGTTTGAGTCTTGGGTGTTTATATTTATAATATGTATTTATGTATTCAAAGTTATATACGTGTAGTGTTTCAACTATCTGGTATCCATAACACAAGCCTCGTAGCTTATCATGGAACTAGATGGTGCTATGTGTTAATATACCAACATTAATTTTATTTATTGATTAAGCTTAGAAAATTTAGTATATATTTTATTTATCTTGTTCTGTTTATATAAAAACTAAACGAGTTGTGTACGTATTAGTACGTTGTCCTAAGTACGTATAAGTATGTAAACGAATACGACTTAAGTGGGTATAATAACAGCCGCTATAATTATCATATTGTAGTGATGTTATTACTTTGTTAATCCATTTTAAAGTACACCCTTCTTTAAATAGCCCAGTCGAGGGGAGAACTAGATTGGCGCATCGCCATAAGTTTCATGCGGGTAGTTCACATTCCCTTTCCACGCGATGTTTTTGTTACTATTATCGGTTGGCGGTCGCCCGCTTTACATTAATATTATAATGATTAAGCTCGGATAAGCAGACTTAATAATGAATATATACCAGCACTAATTTACAGAGATCGAAAGATCGGGTTTTATGTCTTATAAAAAGGATTTAATCTAAAGTATGTTAATAATTGAAATAGTTGACTAATTAATTATTTTTTAATCGCCTTCAGATTGAAGAAGTTTTAAATTGCTCCGCGCTTTTGTATTTATTAGTATATAATTATTCCAAGGATGTGTGAATGAGTAACTTACACTTACTTATTTAAAATAACCTGAATTCATCCATACTAATATTATAAATGCAAAATGTAACTCTGTCTGTCTGTTTGTTACCTTTTCACGCTTAATTCGCTGAACCGATTAAGATGATATTTGGTATGGCGGTAGTTTGAGACTGGGAAGGACATAGGATAGTTTTTTTATCTGAAAAGATGAAAGTTTGTATGGGGAATTATTTCTCATGTAAGGGATATATATATATATATATATATATATATATATATATATATATATTATATATATATATATATATATATATATATATATATATATATTTTGTAGGTACTTACTTATCTATACCTATGTATGTACATATATATAGGAAAGGTACCAATTATGGAATACGTCCCTAATATGGAACACCATAATATTTCTAAAACTAAGAGCTACGAATATTCTAGACGTATGTCATGTTATCCCTCTCGCTACCCTCGTTCGACGGCCATGGCGTTGGCAGCACTAGATGAGAGTAGGAGTCCGCGACACTGTTGACGAACCATAAATTAGATATTTACATAAGTTTTACGTTTATGTTCTCTTATTATTCTTACATGAATATTTCGATATAAGTTGGTAAGTATCTACAGGAAGTGTGTAGTTTTTAAATGGTATTGTTATTTTATAAATATTTAATAATAAAAAAAGTTATATTTATTTTCCTCCCGCCATCATAATGTTCTTAATATGGAATATCGTTGAGTTCCTAATATGGAATACTAGTATATATTAGGATCTCAACGTAACCTCAACGTAAGTAAGTTTTTAATGTGGTGACTTATTACTATTTCTCTTTTTTACATATATATTTACGATCAACATGGATCCGCCAGTAAGAAACCGAAAAGCCTGAAACAAAACCAATATGAAAAATGCTATTGAAGCGGTGGAAATCCAAAAAATGGCTAATAAGAGAGCTGCACAAGTCTTTAATGTACTTCGGACTACTCTCTTTCGGTTTTGCCATACCCATGAACCAAACATACACTGCCGCCTTGGTCGTAAAATTAGGAAGCTTATCGTCAAAACAGGAAAAAATAAAAACGAAGTGTTCCCGAGCCACAGCCATAAACGAGCGGCTGTCAGAAAAACAAACGAAAGAAGAAACCAGGATTGAATTCTGAATTATCTTCTGATAGAAATACCATCTTTAGCTAATGATTATAGTGACGATAAACCCTCAGTTATTCAACCGAACGATCCAAGTGCTGACTCTGAGTGCATATATTGCTGTGTTTTTCAGTGAACAGATTTTATTTGTAATTTTTGCTTGATTTTATTATTTTGTTTTTGACTAACGAGACGTGATCCTATTATAGAATACCCTATTCCATAATAGGATCACATTTTTGAAAAGCATTTTTTTGGTAGTTTTATTTTAATTAATAATATTACGGAAAGTGTTTATCATTTGTTGATTTCATTATTACTTGTCAAGAGTGATTACGGCCGCATTTAATTGTAACCCATTAACTGATTAAAATAAAACTTTTGTACTGATTATTTTCAGAATTTGTTTATGTATTCCATATTCGGTCCTTTTCCTATATAGTTTATTTTATACTAACCGTGAAAACGTAGGTACCTAGGAGCAGCGTGAGTCGCTAGTTTTTATATACGTTCTCAACATTTTTGAAAAAATAGGTACTTAATAAATTATGGCAGTATTTGCTTTTCACATCCATACTCCACTTAATTAAAAGCTAATTATTATTGTTGTTTTTGAAAAAGGTAACAATTATATAATATAAATAAGCTATGTCGCATAAAATTAAATGAGCTCATGGGCAAAGTATGATTGTTAGTGGATGGTGTGAAAATTAGGTTTGAGTTGAGGGCGCTCATGCAAACAATAAGCCGTTAACTGAATTTATCATATGTTAGCTTCGCCTCTTGAATCACAATTTAGGGGGTGGCCACCCTATAACACTAAACAATCTGTATTAGGGGCAAGATATGCGGGTTCCGATGAGCTTTAACATATTTTTTAACATTCTACTACCACTAACATTTTAAACTTTATTGATAATAATACAAGGTTTAAAATATTTCGTATAATTAATAAAAGTAAATTTTTGCAATCTGGGAAATCAAAACAAGGGTAGATTGATGCTATGGGAACCTGACGTGGGATCGTGATAGCTTCATAAGCTTATTATTATTCATTATCGTTATCACAAAAACTACCAATTGTTGTTCAGAATGTACATGGAGAATATTGAAAAGTAAGACTTTATTAGAATAATATATACATTGTACCTAATGTTGTACCTATATATTAACCAGATAAACATTTTCGACTCTTGTACAAGAGCCTATCTATACATATAATAAAATTGTAACTAAGCCCAAGTGTTCTTGGTTATTAAGTTTTCTATCTCTAAGATAATAAATAACGTTTATATGATTGAACTATACTATGGACTAAATTATTGTATACTAATTGTTAACCACTAGGTCGTCTTTTTCCTTTAAGCAGGTATATACATAAATTTTCTAGGTTTAAAAAATCTCCTTCAAGCTTTTTTAAAAATATTTGTTAAAAGATCATGGAAAAATATTAAGATAATATTTACAAAATTTTCGGACGGTTGTTTTGAAATTAAATGTAAATTCATTAATTTTATTTATAAACTAGCATTGACCGCGACTCCGCCCGCGTTCAGATGACCAAAAACCAAATTCTTAGGTTTTATATATACATTGCAGTTTTTGTATTTTTTCTCAGAAATGAGATATTTTCCCGCAGTAAAATGTATCCTATATGTTGACCCGGATAACCAGCTATCACCATACCAAATTTCATTAAAATCCCTCTAGTGGTTTTTCTGTGATGCGATAACAGACAGACAGACAGAAAGACAGACAGACAAAAATTCTAAAAACTATAGAATCGGCCTCTGTATCGATAATAATGTCTATTTCAATAAGATTTTCCAAAAAATATTTAATGTCTGTACATTTAGACCATAGTATAGTTCAATCATATAAACGTTATTTATTATCTTAGAGATAGAAAACTTAATAACCAAGAACACTCACTAGCCAAAGATGCGGAAGCATTATAATGTGACATAAATGTATTAATACTATTTCACCCTTCCGTGTACGTTTATACAACACACCTTTAGAGATTGGCTTTATTTTTCCTTAAGTTTTATGCAATCAAATGCATTTACATACATTAGAGCTTGTATTGGTTATTAGTAATTGATTATCTACGCTGAAAGTTTATAGATAAGAGCAACATATTAGTCATATGGAACGCAATAAAATTAAGATATGAAAATATGTTTGAGCTTTCAATATTAAATTAAAAATTTAACACAAAGCATATACATTGATTATACAGTGCATTGAATATTAAATACATAATACGGCATGCTTATTCTACAATATTAAAATATTTCTATTTGATTTAAGTTTAGGTGTACCAGATCATTCTACGATGAGATGAACTCATTCGGATAAATTTTTTAGAGCATATTCAAAATGTACCTACATTTGGTTTTTACTGTAGAAGTCATTACAGTGTCATTTATATGTACTCGGCATTCGAATATAAGTAAACAAAGTGAGCCAACGAAAATGAATGCGTAGCTGTTGTGTCGCATCGTGTTCCGTACTTAAGACTTAATTGTAATTTATTGTTTACATGTATCGCAATCAGCCCACAGTCACATTGCTTATGAAAGAGGTAGAATTTATAATGATAATAATGCGTAGCGATATTTTATTGTGTACTTAGCTTTTGATAACACAGACATAGAGGTCAGGATTCAACATTTGTAAAGCATCAGAAATGAAAATCACAGAAGTACGAGGCCCGGGATTTATATTCTTCTAAATTAATTTTAGAAAATAGAAAAAAAGCTATAATTTTTTTTTATGTTTATTACTAAGCATCCAATGCAACAGTGCAAGTATAGATAAAGCAACCGTGCAGGAATAGAATATGTGAACTCCATAGTAGGCTATGCCAGTCACAAATCAAATTACACAATGACCGTTTTGAAATATTAACAATATAATATTTAGATTTTCCCTTACTCAATTACTATATGTTTATTAGGGGTGGTATCCACTACATTTAACGGTCACGCTCTCACCCTCGGTTAAAGGTTAAGGTATTCACTTATTTCATTAGGGTAGGTTGCTTAGACTGTTAAAATAAACAAAAAAGTTTTAATGCAATACGTATATTTTATAAAAGACCGTTAAATATTAAAATTAAAACATTAATCGGTTATTTTTTCTTTAATTTTCATATTTTAGTCTTAACTGATAATTATGAAATATACTTTAAACTTATTCATAACTGTTTAATAACTACATTACCGTAATATAGTGACAGAATTAATAATTTATCAGTTTTTTTTATATAGTCAAGACACAGTATTATGATGGCTGATCTCTACCCGCATGGTCCAAAGCTTGGTGGAAAATACGGCATGTATGGTTTGTCACTCATGTTCCACTGCCACATATACTTAGAGAAGAGGTTCTCAAATCTCAGTCTAGGAATTTAATTAAGTATATATGTATATTAAAAAATAAATATTAAGATATAAAATCCTATATTAACATCCATTTAAAATGATCTATTCTTTCTGTACTTATATATAATATAATTAGTAATTACCCTTAATAATAATAAACTATAATTGCTATATTTTCAAAGTCAGATTAAGCATTTTTTTTAAATTCGTTCTTTATTGTATAAATTTAATACAGTAATTAGCAAACATTTTAGTAAAGAATATTTTTGATATTTTTATAGTACCTAATCTCATCATAAATAAAGATTTCGTATTTCTGTAATAAGCTTTTTAGAGTTGCTTGATTATGCTATTTTTATTTATATTTTTCAAGAAGCCATGAATTTTAAATGACAAATGAAATGACTAATAGAATCCGGTTTGAAATATCAACCGGTGTACTCTTTGTAAAGCGTAACCTACCTGTTCATTATGTAAATCTGAATTCGCAAAGAAGCCTTGATCTTTCACACCTTCCCCTATGGTGCGTACCCCTTCTAAATTTAATAACGCATATTGTAGTTTATTTAAACGGCTCATCACGTAGTTAATGCGTGTTTCGAGAGCCGGTTGAAGCTTTTTATTCTTCAAATTTGCGTAGTATGGGGGACACGCGCGGTGCACGCGACCCGCATGGCAGTCTAGCTAGGGTGCGTTTTTTAAAAAGAACAATTGGCAAACGACGGGTATTGGATACACTTTATTGCTTTAAAAGGGACAGCGGCAATAAAACTTTTATATGGACGCGGTTTCGAAATTACAGATCGCGGTTGAACTTTGTGAAGTGACAGCGAATGTCACTTTTCTCACAAACGCCAACGGTGGTGTGCGGTTGAAACATGCCAAGTTTTTCAAAACATTCTTTTTCATTATGCATTTCGCATTAATCTCCTCTTCGTTTATGTATAAAACATGCTTACATAAAACAAACCCTTTGTGCGTTTTATGCTAGTACATTATATATTAATACGTACAATTGTACATACATAAATATAGTAAGAAATCTAGACAAAACGGTGCGTTAACTATCTTTTGTACTTCACAGTTGAGTCACTGTGTTCTTTACAAGTATAAAACATTACCTAGCAAATAGTTTGTCATTAGACTCATTGTCTTGGCTTAGGTATAACAAATATGAGTATATGACAAACGTGATAAACGTGCTACGCGTTTTATCGTTCGTCGCCCTGCAATCCGAGGTCGATCATTAAACTGACGATCGATTTCGTAAAATATATAAAAATATGGAGACCCTACTCGTACATGAATGTATGAGATGAAGTGGGTAGGTATGGAAATTTTGCTTTATATTCATAAGCTCTTTAACACATGGATACCTTGATTCGCTGTTATTGTTGTATCCGAGAACTGATAAATATTAATCTACCTCATAAACACAGCGTCGCTTAACCGATACAACGAGAATAACAGTTTTCTACTACACTAGTGGAAAAGTTTCGTTTTAATATCTAAAATATACTGTGTTGGTATTCACCTAACTGCGCAAGTGAAATCGCATCCAGAATCCGAATTTCACACATTTCAATTGAAAAGGGGCACGCGCTAAATGTATCAGTTTACTTTCTCTCACCTACCAATTTGCAAAATTAACATTCTCATACACTTATTTCCCAATACACCCACATCCTAATTTGGCCATTTTATATATAAAGTTACGCTTATTTATACAACATTTATCTTTTTATGAAGAGTGAGTAGGTTTTTATAGTTATAGAGTAGCAACTTTGTACACATACATACACATATATATATATATATATATATATATATATATATATATATATATATATATATATATATAAACATTTATTTCACATGTACTACATTAATTGCTTATTATTACAATTTACAACAATACGTATTTATAAAATAGACTTTGTCACTGATTTTTATTCGTAATTTTAAGGGAAACAATGAAAGGAAACTCGATAAAAACTTATTTATTATGACACTTTTGGCAAAACACTATAGCGAGGTTATCTAAAATTCATTGGATCCTCTTTATACTAAATCACGTGTATGCTTAAAGTAACCATCGAAATGGCAATCACGTACATTTAAACTTAAATAGTTATATTGCCTTCGTCGTTATTTCTTGATAAATAACGTATGACTGTAGAATAAGAATTTAAGATTTAGTTAATATTATTTAAAAGTATTTATTTATTTAAATATTTAATTTAAACGAACGTATTTTATATACTAGTCGTGTATGTTCGGTTGTATACAAAAATAACCGATATACAAAACCGAAAACAAATAATAATGCCGTTACCTAGTTGGATTAAAATAAAAACCTTTAGCTATTCACTTCAACTGTGTGTTAAAAAAAATAATGTATTCACTAAATATATTATAGTTAGATATCATTTTGCGAATCAACAATAAAAAGAGTCAAAGGGTCGTTAATGTAAATGGCATGCAAATAAATGTTAATAACTACATATTACAATTTTAAAACTTTGATTTCATGTATGGAAATTCATTTAAATGCAACGGCTGAAGGTGTAATAATCGTTGTATTGTATAACAAACTTAATTGAGCAAAAGTATGAATAATAATTTTATTATATTACATATTAGCGACTCACCCTCGCCTCGCTCGGGTTCGTCCCTAGCTCGCTTCCGAATACAAACTTTCATCCCCATTTTCAACCTCTTAAGGGATGATTTCCGGGATAAAAAGTATCCTATGTCCTTTCCATGGTCTCAAACTATCTTCTCAACAAATTTCATTTAAATCGGTACGGAAGATCCAGAGATTACCTCCTACAACGTCACAAACTCACAAACTCGCAAACTTTACCTCTTTATAACATTAGTATAGATATCATATTCGTATCTATAGAACTCCTTTAAAGACCACAGATGAACTTTACAGAAACTTATTTTTTTAGTCAGAGAAAGGGATTGTTTTATACAATACGCACTCAGAACTTCACAATATAAACATTTAATTTAAGTATAGGTACATAGATATATGCAGCTGATACCAATTAAAAAATAACAACCTCCTATAAAAATATCCGGATGTTTACCTAGAGACAGTCGATATTAATAAATATTTGTTACATGGTATTTCATCATTTATATTTCATATTATTTATTCCAAAACTCAAATCGTTCAGTTTTTATCACACAAACACAATCTGATAACATTTATTAATAATAATTACTATATCACACTATTATAAATACGAAAATTTATATGTGAATGTTAAAACGGCTGGATGGATTTGGATGAAAAGTACATACACAATAGACTGGAGTTACACATAGGTAGGCTACTGTTAGTAATAAAATTTGCCAAGCCGTGGCGCTACTTGTATAAAACATCATTTAGCGATACACAGGGGCGAAGCGTGGGTAAATAGCTAGTTATAATTATTAAATATAATTACTCCGCGCTAGTTAAAAGACAAACTGCGGCAAGTACCTCTATTGTTAGTTTAAATAAAAAACAAGCCAAGTGTAAATCTTAATTGACACACGTATAATTACATATATATCTATAAGTAATAATGTTACCAATTGTTCACAATACCGATGTAATTTTTTGCTAGTAAAGATCAAGGTTGCGATTCTGAGATAAAACTTTTTGCTGACGTTCGTGACCAGTCTTTAGGATCACAAAAAAAGTGCGTGCTAAATCTTAAATGGATATCAATAAGGAGTTGCCATAGAAAAGCAATATACATCGAAGTATACCGCCGGAAATAATTTTTAATATCCAAAAATAGTGCTTTTTCAATTAACTTCGAAAACGAGCTGATTTTCAAATTGACAAACAATATATGTGAATAACGTGTAGGTATAGTAATTGTGTTAAAAGCGTATATATGCTTTGATGTTCAAGATACGGAAAGAATTAACTTACTGAACGAGCACAGAGCCAAGGTCGCTCGCAAAACGCGGATACACCGAACTTAATATTCATTTGCTGTTACCAACCCACGAATAAACCTAACATCGTATTCAGTGTCTATCGCGATATAGCTACGCCTTATTGCTCCTCGCACAAAAACTTGACAGCATTTATATAAGAGCCGCCATAAAAGCTATTTTTAATATATAAGTACACAAAGGGTAATATATAAATATCTAGTAAAAACTCGAACTAATTATTCAGAAAACATTCAATTTATTTTTCTAATCTTCGACAAATTAATCAAGGAGTATAATATGGAAACTAATCTAATTTATCTAAGGCTTAAGTTAAGATAAATAAAACAGGTCAATAAAAGGTTTATTTTTGATCGCTGTTTAATTTACTGCACAGATGTGTCAGACTCACTAAGAAGGAATTATAAATTAATTTTTTTGTCACATGTACTATTGATTAATATTAGCACTAGCATTTATATTAACAACTAGCGTTTTCCTGCGGCTCCGCCCGCATAGTACCTACATTAATCACCAACATATCATATACTAAAACCTTCTCCGAAACACGCTGCATCTTTTGGTATGAGTATTACTTCGATCGGTTCAGTAGTTATCGCAGTATAACCGAACAAAAAAATCGGCTCTCTATTTATTAGTATAGAAGATATCGTTTATCAGTTACAGTATGGAGCATAAAACAACAGATTGTAGCATAAAACAAAAATATTAATAAAAGACCTATCTAGTACCTATACTTTATATATTTGGGTAAAACTTTGAAGAATTTCTAAACACAAGCGTAACCACAAAATTATATTTTAAGGTCGTCCTAAATATAATATATCATTTTTTTACTATAATAATCTTTTAAATGAACTTAAAATCATGTTTACGCATCGTCAACCACAGTAATTTTGGTAGCGTTTTTAAATTTTCGGAGATTTAAATCAAGTCGACAAGGAGATCACTATCTACCGTGGTCGCTCAAATGTAATAATCACGTATTAAACAAAAACTATGATATAAATCGTAATTTAATAGCATTCATTCTTAAGGAAAGATTAGAGAACTCTATCTAAATTAAAAAAACTTTATTTTGTACTAGGAATATGTTGAATTGTTTAATATTTTATGGGAAATGTCAAAGGAAGCTTGTAATTTTTAAATTTCGTTAGTCTGAGTTCATGCTCAAGTGGTTTATATAAAACAACATTATGGAGAGAACACACTACAATGTTATGGTTCAAACACCACATTGTTCAGGTTCAAAATCAACGTCCATCACAAACACAGGAAAGGGAATCCTTTTACTATCAAGAGTTAAACCTAAGATCTAGCTTAAAGTAAAATATATCAAACTATCCTTCAAATATTCGTTTTGTAAGTACACAAAGAATAACAAAAGAAATCAAACAGATAAATGGCATTAGTAAAGTTTACATGATGACATACATTAATTTTATCGTGTAAACTATACTTTTGTGAAATTATATCTAAAGTATCTGATTTAGTATATATCTAATAACATTGACAATGCAATTTTCATGTAATATTTTCTAATAATTGTTTTGTTAAAAATAATTATTTTATTTATTAATGAATACCTATGCAATAATGTAATATTTGGTAAATAAATTTCTAAATAAACCACTTTGAATAAGCTTGTTACTGTAAGCTAGTACTGTAACACTTACAAACATTGCCACGTATAATTACGTCATCTAAAATATAAGAGTTACGAGTAGTCAGTGTACGAATAGCAAAAATTACCAAAGCATAATTTGATCAATTAAATATAAAATATTAGATACTGGTTTTGCCCGCGGCTCCGCTCACGTGCTAGATAAAAGTCACGTATTAATTTAAAACAGAATAAAAGCTGCTAAGACTATTAACCTAACAAATACAAAAACAATAAGTAGGTACACGCGAAAGTTTTTGAGTATGTATGGTACGACATCAATACTATTTGTTATATATGTATAGGCTATAATTTTTAAAGATATTTTTTAATGAATTACGCTGGCGGAGGCATAGGAAAACGCTAGTAGTCGTATATAAGTGAGTAGAGGTTATTAAAAATTCCAACTAAAATTTTTTCTTTCACATATAATATATAGTACCTACAAAAATGCAATATTTCTTAAAGGAGTCTGTAAATGATAAATAAATCTCCTCGAAGCCTGAACACAGATATATAATTAGACGACTTCCTATTGTAGATGTAAGTGTGTAAGTAAGGCAGTGGCGTGGTACGGGTGCTATTATCTAACAGTGAAAGTGTGAGTGTGTGCGCCAGTGACGTAACGACGCCGGGCTTGCGCGAGCGCCACTCTCACTAATGCTCATTTTCAAGCAAACAACTAGGAAGTTCCAGACTAGATATATTAATTATTATGGTTATTGAGTACTTTAATGTTATTTAATAATATTAAACTTTAAAATTTTGTGACGTCATTATAGTCTGTATGCATATTATGCACGCGTTGATGTCTTTAGATCGATAAGATGATATTAATTTGAGAGATTATCAGATTTATATGTTTTATGTGTTATTTTTTTATTTTTGACCTGTTTTCTCAAGAATAATTACTCTATAATATACCTAGCTATCTGGATGTACGTATATATATTAATAAGAATATTTCAGCATTCTGATTTTAAACAATAATGATTGAAAATTAGATTATAAATGAATTTACATTTAACAATGAGCAGTAAATTATTGAATAATCTACTTCTTGTTTCGTAAGTTGTCGGCATTAATGAGTGCAGTTGTCGGTAATCGTTCCAGTTTGTGTTAGTGTATTACCACAGTAATTATTAAGAATAATGTTTGTAATTTAAATATTTTAATGCAATAATTGCAAAAAGAACGTTTAATAAAATTGTTGAAATATTTTAATAAATATGTACATAACATGTATATAAATAATTAAAATTTTCCGCAAATTATACCTATGCGGTACAATTATACTTCGAAGACGAGTAATTGTGATTAAAAAAAATTTACTTGCAAAAACTTTGTATAAAAACAATTGCAGTTTTAATTTCTTTAAAATTCCTTCAAAAATGATTTTAGTTTGCATTTTACAGGAGCAAAGATCAGTACTTGAAAAACGTGTTAACGTAAAATAAAGTTAATCTAAATATTGAAAATAGCTAATTTATTAATGAAAACGACGCGCCAGAAGTTTGTCTATTTATTTTAAAACACACTAAGAAATCTATGCGCTCAGTTCCCCGAGCTTCGAATCCGATACGGTGGAGTGAACATAACGAAGGTGGGTCATCGTGTAATAAAACGACAGAAGTCAGAGCGTGACGCATTAGGCCTGTGCTTTAAGATGGGGGATGATATCTACGCCTAGTGACGTGGACCCATTTTAACTTCCACGCTCTATTGGGCAAAGCTATTTTAACTTTTTACTTACCTTCCTTGACTTTTCAATTTATCAAGCCAACAAGTTGAATTTAAATGGAATTTTAAATGTGAATAATTTATATTGTTCAGAAAAAAAAGTTATATATGTACTTATTTACAAAATTATATAATATACATAAATCCGTAAAAGTAATTTGTTATATTACATACTTTGTTTTTCGCTCAGCATTTAACTTATATAATTAACCAATAATAATAATTGTACATAATAAACACAATTTGCGTTTTCAAAATAATAACTTTATTTGTGATGTAAATTTGGCAGTACCTTTCGCAACATTAAACTCCTTATTACAATAATGGTCCAGCTGACTATCTGTAGGCCCTTTGTACACTTTGGACCAATGATCGACACTTTATTGAAGGCTCGTTTCAAGAACGCTGACTTCTCTTTGTATTCAGCTGTCAATCTGTAATGAAACAGCATGATACCCCATTAATGTTACAAAGTTAAATTGAAGGACTAATACGTACATTACAATTTTATCATATATTATTAAACTAGCGACCTCCCTCAGGTCTTAATTATACTTCGAGCCAAGTGTTTTTCAGTATACTTTGTATTTTACTAATATCCCAAGTATCCCACTTGATGTAATGTTGATAAAAAATTTCCTATGTCATTCTTCGGCTTATTCCATTACTATTTCTCTGCAAAAATCAAAACTTTTTTACTTAAAAATCAAAAGTACTTTAACCTTTAAATATTAACAAACATGGTCATCAAATCTTCAATTTCTAAAGCATATACCATTATAACATTAGCTAATCTACTTTCGAAGTCGAGAGACAGATTGGTGTCACTTACGTCATAATGCTTGCCGGTTATTATGTTTTAGCATATTCATCCGACCTTTCAGTGCATTGTTATTCACTTTCGCTTCATAACTTACATCTGTAGGTATATAGCTGTAGACATCTATGACAAAGTCTTCTGAGAAATTGTTCTCATTTCTTTGAACCTATAAAAATAAGGAAAATCATAATACACATAAAGTTGTATGCAAAATTATATATGTATATTTTTTCAAGGAATACCTAAAACTAATTAATATATTGAACAATATCTAGGTGTAGCAATAGAACGTGACTAACAAAACAGTTATTCATTTAAAATTGTAATAAAGTATATTAAAATAATATTACATATAACAAGTGTAGAATAGGTAGTTAGGTGGTATAGAATAAGCTGCTTGCAGCAAATTTAAATGACTTATTAAATGTAATTGCATACATGACTTTGAAAGATGATATAACTGCCTCGTTGCTTCTTGACTTGTCCGACAGTACCGACAGCCCATTCATCGTAGAGTGACCGACAAAAGTATAGGATATTTGATTTCTGAGTGCATCGTCACATTTAAAAGCATTTCCCTATGAGCCTAAGGGATGTACAGAATGTAACGCACTTGCGAATACATACAATAAATACGCCTCTACAAATTATTTTTTTAGAAAAGCATACTTTTAAATTAATAGACACTTTTTAGATCTTCAATTTTTGTATGTAATCAAACCGAAATAAATAACAAAATACGAATACGGAATATCTTCTTTCAGAAATAACATGTACATATAATATATAATATCTCCCGTGCATTCACTGGCAGGCAGTCATATAACACGTAAAACCTCATAAAAAATTATCTACCTGAATACAAGTGAAATGTATTTATATGATTTGTAAGCGATTATGTTTGATTGTAATTTTGATTATAATGCATTATTAAGCATTATGTATCTTCTATCATATTACGCGTAATACAGCAGGCAGTTGTAATTTCGCTTCTCGTAATGACTTATACAATCTAGCAGTAGGAAGTAAACAAAAGTTTCATTTTACACAAAAAATTGCCAACTGCGTGAACTATTGTTATTTGCTCTTCGAGCATAACAAACCAGTGCATTGTTGATTCACTTAGAATATGCTTTATACTCTAGAGTTAAGCTATTTAAATGCGACTCGAGTCAAGCTTCCTCGAACGAGCAATATTTTAGTTTGTTAAAATTTAACAGATAACCGAGTTTATCACGGCGTCAGTAACATTTATAACGTCTAACGTAGGGGTCAAATGGATAACCGGGTTAGTTATCACAGTCATTAAAAAAATCAATTTAATTTATGTCTAAAATGAATAAAAATATATACATGGTGTAAATTAAATAATAATATGACCGAAAGGTCCAAAACAGTTATGCAATATGTTGTCATATAGTGTCGTTGACGCAACTCTGTTTTGGTGGGTCGTGGTAAGTGTGTCGGCCATTTCGGTCAGCCGATGGCCCACTGCGCTGCATGACATAACTTTGCTTCCGCCGTTCGCTTAGTGAAAGGCGCTAGCGCTCGGGCGGAATCTACCACACATTTAATTTGACATTTTGCATACTCGTAACACCACCTACTTTATCTATGAAGATGTCAATATCAATGTCGCACCTACTTTTGACAAACAAAAGTATTTCAATTTAGGTTAAATTGCTCAATTCCATATAATAAATACCCCTTACAAGTGATTACGTTATTAAAATATTTACATTAATTTAAGATCGAATAGTTGTAGAACGATAAGCTTATTTATTATTATAAATTAATAACATCGATTAGTATCAAATTTAGGGTTTGTAAACTAGATTTAAAACGGAATATTAAATCAACAAAGTGAACTAACCCAGTCCAACTGGAAATTGCAAATAAACCAGTGTCACTTAGTGTATCATAGTGTTTTGCAACGGATAATAACAAGTCCAGGCACTTTTACTAGCTCAACAAGACACCCAGCTAACGAAGCATAGCTTACTAGTACAATGAACTGTGCATACACGTACTCGTATATACTAAAAGTGTGAAATGTCATAAATATTGTAGATATTTTAATATATAATAGAAGTAATCACGTAAGCCTATTTTGTAATATAACACGTTAGTTCCTAACACTATGTAAAGATAGTTAAGTAACGAACGACAGGAAAGGCGAAGTTGAGCTATAAAAGTTAATTTAATAAACGTTTATGGCCTAAAGTCGTTTAGAAGGGATACTTTTATTGTACAATATTTAAATTGTACCTAGAATTACTTGTGTGGTAACGATAAATTCACTAGACCATTGTTACTAAAAATACACTAAATAAAGCCAAGTGATGTTATGGGCCGTTAAAAATATATAAACATTCAATATTGTCTCTTAAACTTCCTTAGTAGCAAGTACCAACTGACTAATGAGTTATATTTATACGCCGTTGGTTAAAGCAATTTTGCACTTCCGTATTCGTAACAAAAAGCTACGCTGCTGACTTTAGAGTAGTAATTCAGCTCGTTATTTCTTTATAATGGACTCTATACCAACATTACTTACATAACATTTTGTAGCAGAATGCTTTTATTTTCACTATTATTTTCTGTGTAAATAGATTAAATCTTTACCACATTGTAATGTAAGTACGTATAAGTTCTTGTAACTATACTTATTATTTATTTATAATGTTCGCTTGTTCTTTGTTACACAAAAACGTATATACACATAAAGATTCAATACTTTATTAAATTATTATACTAAAGAATTTATATTTTTACTGTTTAAAAAAACACATTAGTGGGCATTTTAATAACTTACATATATATAAACAGCTTCATTGCAATATAGCGAGTAAACTAGTTTTGACACAAACTAATGGTACTGCGTCATGAAATAAAAAACGGAATACTTAATTGAGAACTAATTATAAAAACGCTCAAGCGAAGCGTAACCGAAATTATCTCTGTATAAAATAAACTATGTAATTTTGTGGTGCCATAGATTCGCAGAATGGCGTTTTCGAGCTTTCAATTTTTAAACAACACTGACTACTATCACAAAGTTTCCAAAACTTAATGTTATTCCAAAGTCTTTATCTAGTGGAATTCTAAATTCAATATAATAGGTGAATCAAAGTAGGCAAAATTCATCAACGCAATCCTGGTTTACCGTGATTTTGTTGGACCTATGCCCGCCCTATGGTGCCGAAGTGCGCCATGAGACCGCTACGATTAAGACTCGGAGGAGCGGGATGACACACCGATAGACCATCTCAACATACAGACCATCTCAACATACACACCGATAGACCATCTCAACATACAGAATACCCTTTAATTTTTATTCTGGTGATGTCTTTCTGTGGGATAAACGTTCTATCACTATAATGTTATTTTCAATTCAATTCATTTTTTTTTTGTTATTGGCTTCAAAAAAATGTTATTTTAACAACATTATAAAAGGATTCGTTTCTAAGCGCCTCGATAGATGGCGCTATCCAAGATGGTTGAAAGGAAACGGAGAAAACGCTTTTTAATTATGTTTTATTTTCTGTATATTATTATTGGTAAAATAATACGTGTACTCCTATTTAAATCCCATAAAATCTATCTAAAAACTTTGTGCAATAATATTTTTGTCTTTAAAATAAAAAAATATGAGTATGTTATTATTATACTTTAATATTATAAATAAATGGGAAAGTGTTTTTGTTTGCTTATTTGTTTTTTTTTTCCTTCTGTCACATCGAAATAGAGTTGTGGATTAGCATGATTTTTTTGTGTGGAGTAGGAGGGCTGGAGAGTGACATAGGCTACTTTTTAGAGCGGGAGATCAACTAATTCCTACTTGAAAACACGTTATAATACAACCCAACAAATTATTTACGAATAGAATTACTTGAAACTTGGTATTAATGTTCTTCAATACAATGAAATAAATACGTGTTTTAACATTTTTCGAAATTCATCAAATAAAGAGGTAAAATAAGGGGATGAAAGGTTTTATGAAACTTACCTTCTTAGAGTTTTTCTTAGAACTTTTAGCGCGAGCGAAGCCGCGGGTTCTGCTAGCAATTTATTAGTAAGAAAAGAATTTTTATAAAAACTGTCAAAGGAGGATTATACGTACCCATGCGCTAAATTAAGTCCAAAATTAACTCCGTAATGAACTCATATGACCAATACGTAAAAAATCACGTAACGTACAATCTTGCATAAAATATCAAATTGTCGGATATAACCCCAAATGACATATCTTAAATTGACAAGATTAAAGAAAAATGTATAACTTTCTAGCGATACATTTATATTATTTAAAACATTTTAATTGCAAAAAAGAGGTATTTAATTTGCTTTGCTTTCGATTTCGATACGTGGCAAATGCTATTATTGGTCTTATTAAGATGAAAGTATAACATTAAGAGACGAAATCTCCAAGCATCTTTTACAAAAGAGAACAAAAAAGAATATAAAGAGCTCTGTATATGCCTACATAATATGTATAAGCGTTTATCAAAACTTCAAATGACCATGTGATGTTCCACGAAATGAATTGAAGGCTACGTTTTTTTCTCACTATGGTGGTCTAACAAAATTGTGTTTCTGATGAAATTCGATATTAAACGCAGTCCGAATTTCTTTTATCATAGTGACGTCCTGACCTCGTGCAATGAGCAAAATTGTATGTGAAAGACTCCGGTTGTGACCGAATTAAAAAGATCAATCATTTTCAATTGCCGTTTGTTAAAATGGGCTCTATTCATAATATTGATGCAAGACGAGTAGGACGTTAGTTGGCTCTTCATATTAGGTTCAATTATACGTACTTACACTGATATCTAAACCAATCTTCACGTGCATAACTTTTGCGAAGGATTAATTTATTAAAGAATGTTATTGATATTATAAATGAAATATTTTATGGAATTATAAATGTCACATAATTATTACACCAGGATTATTACCGAGATTATTCCTTAACTGGAAATTATACCAGTTAGAAGAAAACGTGAAGTGCTAT